TCTTCTATGGCAGCCAATCTACAGATAAAACATTTATAGTGCTCTCCTGTAGTCATCGTATCGCTGAGTACTTGTCCATACGAAGTTAGATTATGTGCAAATGGTGATAACTTCATTGTGAAGTAATGCGTGTATTAAAAAAGAAGTGGCTGCGGGTGACGCAACTATTTGAATAAGTAAAATGAATCATTTTTATTTTAAACGATTCCGAGATACGTCGTACTACAGCAATAGCGGGTTGATTAATTAAATTATTATTGCCTTGATACCCTATATGTTCACCAAGATGTTCTTGCCACCACGGCAATTTGCGTCCTTAAAGTCCGTCCTACACCCACAGTTAAAGAGAAATTTCTCTCAAAAAGTGTCCAGTGCTACAAAATATATTCATGAGAGTTACTTGACTACAGATTATTTTCAAAAGAGCCTGCCTCACCTTAGAGTCCCTGATCTCACCAAAACCCTGGACCGATATTTACGTTCACAGGTATACTGCTGGATATACTGTAAGTGCGGACGTTTAGGAGGCAATTTGTTCTGATGAGCAGTTTTTGCAAACGAAAAAAATAACTGACGACTTCATGAAAGGTGCCGGTCCCGAGCTGCAAAAGTCACTAGTCGATTACGATATGCGGATTCCTGATTCGAACTATATTTCAAAAATTTGGTCTGACATGTACTTAAAAGACCGGCGACCTCTTCCCCTTACGCATAATCCCGCTCTTTTATTTAAAGAATCGGCAATTGGGGCAGAGTACAATAAGGTGAGGTCAATCTAGGCTTGGAAAATTAGCTCATTAGTATAAGTTTTTGCATTATTTCTACCTTCCCACTCAATTACTTCATATGTGCAAGCCACAAGCTCGCTTTCTCCGAACTATATTAGTTACGAAAGTCGTGTTTGGTGATTTAATATATCGTTTTCTGGGAATAAATGTACTCATTAGCCTTCCTACATTATGCTACACCACTAGCATATTCAACTACCGAAGCGTATTTAGCGCTTTTTGCCATCAAATTCTTAGATTGCATAATTCTACACGAGAAAGCAGTAAGTATGTCGGAAATTGTATGTTCACATCAATCTATCTACTGTGGCTTACATACTTTTCCGGCAACTGATGAGGTATTTTAGTCGGTGGGATTGTAGAAATAAAAGTTCTGGTAGCGTTTTACATTAAGGATACTCATCGAAGACGCTTACAGAGGGTCAAATAGAAGCCAGCAATAAATATTGTAGAATAATTACTTACAAAGACGAAGGGGTTGGGCGAGTGACCATTTTGACTTGTGTGCCACCAGATGCTCAACCATAAGATTGGGAAGACCCGAAAATTGAACTTCATTCCCACCAGTATCGTACCACCATCGGAGTCGCGTACTCACAGTCTGCGGTCGAAAATATTCGCAGCCAAACAAAAGTTGTCCTACACCAAGACAAGGTCCTGAAGTGGCTTTAAAGGCGTTTTTTATACCAGTAATACTGGAGAAGCGTCCTTTATACGTGATCTATATTTCTGCTCACAGGCGACGAAATATAGGTCTATGATTCAAATGACTGGGTGTTCGACTTAACTGATCAATAAACATCTGGGACCGGGTTTCTGTCTGCGCATCATTAGCATACCCATTTGAACTTCCACATTTGTTTGCCAGACTGCCTCATTGAAATTGTCTTACGAGCATTGTTTGGCAACTTGCTTCGCGCAATTTCTCTTATAAACGACTGGCAAATATGAATTTTGCTCGGTTGTTTGGGTGAAACTTGCATTTAGTACGGCCATTATCATACCTGATCTAGCCGGCCCCGACTGTCACTTCTTCTTTGTATCGGTGACTCCTCTATCAAAAGGGGTCGCAAGACAGTACCTTATTTGGAGAGAGATTAAACTAAGATGCAGAAAAGATCGCGTGCATAAGAAGTTGATCGTATAAATAATAACAGCGATTGAAATGCTCATGCGATATCTTGTCTTTGACCGA